TTTCACTGTCTCATGAATCCACAACGGATGCTCATGGCAGCAACAGGCAAGAGGTCCAAGGATGCACTGCATTGAGTCACTGCACGAGCCCTCTTCAGAGTCCTGAAGAGCAACGCTGTCACTTTGAAGACTCGGTGGGCCTGCCCCAAGCCCGGTTGTTTTCAATCACCTGAGATGCATGTGAAGGTTGGGCATGGAATAAAAAAGACCTGAGAAGAACTCATACATTTAAGTTACAGTGCTGGTGAAGACTATTGAAAGTTCCCGGGACTGCCAAAGGAGCAAACAAATCTCTCTCCGCAGAGGTGCAGTCAGAAGGCTCCTTAAAGGCAGAGCTGTCGAGACTTCAGCTCCTGTACTTTGGACAGGTTGTCGGGAGAGACCAGTCCCTGGAAAGGACCTCATGCTTGATAAAGGGGAGGGGCAGCAAAAGAGAGGAAGCCCCTCCAAGAAATGGCTCAACAGGACCACCTGGTGTTTCATTCTGCTGTGTAGGAGGTCACCATGAGTTGGAACCGACTCAATGGCATCTGGCACGAACAACAACTTTGATGAGCGTGTTGTCACTTGTTTTGTGTTCCCCTATTAGAGCAGGAAACACATACGGCCACCAGGTGTCAGCTTTCCCAGCACATCAGCAAACAGTCCACCCCTAGGCCTCCTGCCAGGAGTAGCATCCTCTGCTTAGAATGTGTCCTCTGCTCCCAGCATCCCACGATCACAGCTGTCACCATATCCTGGGCTCTGCACACATATTACCTCATGTCTTTCCCATTGAAAGCCCCGTGAGACAATACCCTTTTGTACCACCGTTTTAGAGTGAAGCCAACATAAGACATTATGTTGTAAACATTGTAAACTTAAGACATTAAACTGAACTCACAGAGTATCAAAGCAGAAGTGGAATTTGAACCCAGACATTCCCAATCTCAAAACCCTGGTATTTAATGCGTGGTTATCTTGTCCCAAATACCTCACATGGAATTCCAAACCATGTGTTCTTTCTTCTTCTACAAAAGCCCCTTTTTGTTGTAAATTTTATTTTGACTATCTTTCAGAAACCTGAAATAAGATCATTCACAAAGGGGCACTAGCTTATGGAGACATTGGGTTATTTCCCTCCAAGCGCCAGGGCTCTGTGGCCATCCATCACGCCGACTCTTCTTCCTCGAAGGGAGCAGGGGCAGGTGGCCTGCTAACCATCCTGGGGCTGCAACCAGTGCTCAGGAAAATTGAAACCAAGAGCCTCAGGGGAGGCTTTAGACAGCTGGGCTCTGCACACGCCCTACGCCCTACACCTAAGAGCAAGGCAGGTGTGAGTTGTGCCCCCACCACTGGACTCTGGGTGCCAGCATAACAGGAAGCAGCATGTGGTCGGGCCTCGGCACACAGGCCAGTGTTCACTCACATCCAGGGGAAGAGTAAACAGGCCGCAGCAGGTTAAACATTGGGCTGCTAACCACAAGGTTGGTGGTTCAAACCCACCAGCTGCTCTAAGGGAGAATGATGAGGTTGTGCTGTCTGCTCCTGTAAAGATTTACAGCCTTGGAAACCCTAAGGGACAGTTTTACTGTGTCATGTAGGGTCACTATGAGATGAAATTCAGGGTTGGGTTTGGTGTCTGGAGGTGAGTGCAGGGAGGCCCAGGTCCACATCAAGGAGACACGCTGGATAGATAAGCAAAGGTGCTGTCGGTGAAGACTGTGAACATAGTGTTGGACTGGAGCTATCTCTGAACTCACCAGCAAATGCAGGACCTGGCTGTGCCATCAGCATTTGCTCACAATGCTCTTGTCTCAGCCTTCATTGCAAACCTGCTACCTGCCCAGCCTACAGGCAGTCAAAAGGGAAAGGGTCAGTGGTGAGCAAGTGACCTGATGGGCTGCAAAGCTCAAGGCCAGCTGTTGGAACCCATTAGGCACGGCTGCTACTCTAGGGGACAAAGTTGAGGCTTTCTGCTCTGGTAAAGAGTTCCATCATGGAAATGCACAGGGCAGTCCGACTCTCTCCTGTAGGACCACTAGGAGTATGAATGGACTTGATAGCAAAGGGTTTCGGTTTGGGGCTGGAGGTGGGGGTGGAGGGTTGGTTTACCACGTGCTCAGAATGCACTGCTAGCTGCTCACCATGTCCAGTGATTCACACAAACTGCGCTCAGCACCTGATGGAGCAGCCACAGCACCCCCATGAGCTAAGTGTTGGCATCAGTGTTCTCTCCCCTGAGCACACTGAGGCTGGGAAGGGTGAAATAATGTATCAGGGCAGCACGCACAGTTACTAAGAGGCTGGGCTAGGATTTGAACCTGGGTCCCCCTGATCTTCGATCCACCTGCCTGCTCTATCCCCCCAGAGGGCTACTTGTTCACCTTTTGTACCCATCCCCCTAACAATCACCTGTGTGCTCGCCATCTTCATTTAGATCAGAAATGACAGACAGACAATGAAGAAAGCACATTCAACTCCCTATTCAGAAATCATCACCGGCAGTCGGATCTCTAGCTTTCTAGATTGCTTATGATAAAAATGGCAGGGGGTGGGGGGTCTGCAGTCCTCTAACTTCATGAGAGAGACACTCATCAACAGCATCAACCCAGGGATGATTCCCAGGTGACAGTAGTCTGATTTGCTTCCTCTCTCCAACATCTTTACCAATTCCTGTACCTCCATGACTCTGCTAATTCACTGTAGTGACCACACAGAGAACTCACAGACAATAATCATGGTTGTGGTATATGTTAGGAGATTAGGCTACAACGGAGCACCAGGAATGACTTGGGATACAGTTCTTGGGTCAGGGCAGCTACTTTCCCTGGTTCTGGACCTCTTAGCTCCAAGCTCCTTGGTCCTTAAGATTTCCCAGGCCTCTTGGGCCAGCCCAACCTCTACCCTGCTTGGGCAAGTATTACAAAGCTTTTTAACTCCGCCAATAAATACCCATAGGCATGCCACTCCACCAGGAAGCCTCCTGCCTAAAGGCACTCGGGCTTCTCACTTGATATGTACGTGCTGCCCCAGCCATTCTCCTGGCTCTACTGCCACTGTCTCTCTGGTGCTGTTCCTTGCTGGCTCATACCATCTTGAGGATAGCTCTCTCTAGGAGGTCCTCAGCATGAGGAGGACCCTGAAACCAAAGAATGTGCTCTGCTCCCATTGCTTCTTGGTTATGAAGCACACATTCTGCCTCGGGGGTGGCTCAACTTCAGCCTAGTGGGATGGCAGAATGGGCCAATGCTCTGGTTAGATTCCATGCTCCTTTTTTGCCTGGTCTGACCCTGCAAGGGGTCATGCACTGTATTTACATGGCACATGTCAGCGAGCTGCCCAATCCCCGTGGTGAACCATAAGCACTTTCCTTCATATCCTGCCCAATCGTTAGTGGGAGTTAGAAGCTCACAGCTGGAAAGGCAATATAAAAGTTGCCCATCACACCGTGCTTACATATGCATAAGTCAAGATGTTCACCCCAAGGATCAGGTGATCATTTGGCAGCTCGTTATCCTACATCTCTGAACACAGGCATTTTTCCATATCCCTAAATGCTCTTCTACAATTGATTTCTCATAGCTGCATGGTATTTCGTTTGACATGCTAAACAATACAGCCTTTACTTAACCAACTGTGTTTTATTGGACATCTCCGTTATAGTATGTTACGGCGATACACAAGACTGTGCCGGTTGTCACGGTTGCTAAGGTGTGGCCCCGTATAACTCTTTGAAAGGATCCTTGAGCATCGACTGGCGGACTAAGTGCCACATCTGGAAGGGCAGTGGAATGCAGTGGGGCCCCAGTATGACTGCCCTTTCAAAAGTGAGGCTCACTCTCAGCTAGTCAGGATACTAAGTGGAGACATGCTCTCCCCAAAGAGAGTGACAACCATGCCTATGCCAAGCCTCACCCAAGCACTAGAAGCTTCCACAAACTTTTCCTTGACTCCATGCCTGAGGGCTAAGGTCCTCCATGTCTGAGAAGCACCTTCTACCCGGGTGCATGTGTGTGTGAGACAGGGGCATGCTGCAGGATGCCCTTGGAAGCCCAGCCTGCCGCCAGCCTCTTCTCTGCAGCTTCATTGAAACTCCAGTCTTACTGTTGCAGCTAGAGGGGCACTTGGCTGGACTTTCTCCCCCCTAAGAGTTCTCCACTCCAGCTCTGTTGGGATTAGAGGAGGGAAACAGAATGTCCTTGAAGGGATCTTGTTTTCTGCTTCACTTCAAAGATCAAGAAAGGGCAGTTCTGATGAGGTGTCTCTGGAGTCAGGCTAGGAGGAGGTGGTGGGTAGGGGGTTGGTGGGTGCAGGGGAGAGAAGGAGGAGGCAGGGGTGTGGGGGTCAGAGAAGAGAGGAGAGGGAGGGCGAGAGGGTTGAGAGACGTCCTGGGCGCGGAAGGAGAGAAGCACCGGAAGACAGGGAAAGATGAGAGAATGAATTTGAGGCAGAGAGAGAGAGAGAGAGAGAAAGACAGGGTCGGATGTCTAGAGAGGGGGCACATGGGGAGGGGAGCAGAGCAGGGGAACCGGACACATCGAGTAGGGAGTAAATGCTGGGAAGGAAGAAAAGAATGAGTGAAAAAAACTGCAAAGATGGAAGGGGCAGGGTCTCCCTGAAAATGGTCACATAAAAATGGGAGGGACAATGAGCTAGAACGAAGGGGGGGTGGGGGCGGGGGCGGATGAGGGCTCCAGGTGGGGAAGAGGATAAGAGCCAGCGAGGAGACCGGGAAATAGAGAGAGGAGGTGGGAGGATACCCTGTCACGCTTAGTATCCGCTGTAATCCCCATGTCTCCACAAGTCCCTGCCAGACCCGAGACTGTGGTGGGAATGCCTCCTCCCAGTCCAGTTGGGCCAGGACAGGCGAGCAGGCAGCAGGGGCGGGCTGTGGAGGAGGGCAGGCAGGTGGCTGCCCGCCCTCTTGGGGCCGCCCAGGCCCAGCCCGGGGGATATAAGTAGGAAGGCCGGCTGGGAGCACCTGTCAGGGACAGCTGCCGTGGATGTGCAGGTGGCCGGCAGGTGTCTCCCACTGCGCCAGCTCCAGCATGAGCTCCTTCGACCTCCCTGCACCCTCCTCTCCACGCTGCAGCCCCCAGTTCCCCAGCATCGGCCAGGAGCCCCCAGAGATGAACTTGTACTATGAAAACTTCTTCCATCCGCAGAGCGTGCCCAGCCCTCAGCGGCCCCCATCCTTCGAGGCGGGGGGAGAGTACGGGGCCACCCCCAACCCCTACCTCTGGCTCAACGGACCTGCCATGACGCCGCCGCCCTACCTGCCAGGCACCAACGCCAGTCCCTTCCTGCCCCAGGGCTATGGCGTGCAGAGGCCGCTGCTGCCCGGCATGGCCGGCCTGGGGGGCAGCGACCTGGGCTGGCTGCCCCTCCCCTCCCAGGAGGAGCTGATGAAGCTGGTGCGGCCCCCTTACTCCTACTCTGCCCTCATTGCCATGGCCATCCACGGGGCACCCGACAAGCGCCTCACGCTCAGCCAGATCTACCAGTATGTGGCGGACAACTTCCCCTTCTACAATAAGAGCAAGGCGGGCTGGCAGAACTCCATCCGCCACAACCTGTCACTCAACGACTGCTTCAAGAAGGTGCCCCGCGACGAGGACGACCCTGGTAAGAGGCTGAATGACGCAGGTGCATCTGAGGCCACCCATGCCCCAGGGAAGGCCCACCCCTCCCTCCGCAGCACCCCACAGTGTAAGGTCCGGCATATGGCTATGTCCCCCACACGATTGGGGGTCAGGGGTGGGGGTCTGCTAGGTGACAGAGTGGGAGGAGCTCAGCAGGAAGGAGGTCTGGCCTGGAGGAGACTACTGGGGATTAGTGACCCAGCAGCTGGCATCCCGCTGGGCCTCACTTTCCGTGGGAGAAATAGGGATGCGATCAGAGCCCTTTTGGAAGCTTGTGGGGTGGAAGGAGCTCATGGGCCTCAGGGGTTGGTGCTCAGCCTTGCTCCATCCTCACCTGCACAGAGCACCTCCTTGGTCTTGGTGAACAAGTCAGGCTAAACCAGCCAGGCAGTCCACCCACCACCGAGAGCCTGCGTGCACCTTGCTGCCTGTCTTACTGCTAGGTGGTTGGGGTGAGGGCTGTTAGGTACCATCGGGGCAATCCTACGCATAACAGCACAGACATTGCCCGGTCCTCAGGCAACCTCCCAATTGTTCCTCTGCCTGAGGGTCCCGTGCCCGTTGTTGCAGCCACAGTGTCAACCCACCTCCTTCCTCTCCAACTGGGTAATCTCCGGTCATTCCCACCACGCTCCTGCGCGGAGGCTGGAGGCTCGGCATAAACCCATTTCACCGAGAGGGTAAAACACAGCGCCTATCTGCCTGAGGCGACAGGGAATGGGGTGACACCTTGAATTTGAAGAGAAGTTTCTCTCACACCAATGACGGTGACTTTTCCCCGCTGTGTCCACCACGACTTTTTAACCATACAGAGATGTTCAGAAAGTAGCTTGTTAAATACGTGTAATATCATTTCCCAAAATTAAAGTCCACCCTTGTTCCACAGACCCCGTGTCCTTGTCCTCCGGCTGAGGTCAGTACCTCCTCCCTTGGGCTTGACCCAAGCCCCTCAGTCAGGAGTAAAAGGGGGACTGTCATCTATCTTCCGAGTCTGTTCCCAGGACTGCTAGGGAGCCCTCAATGTTTGCTCCCTAGAGAAGTTTTTGACTTCAGCCAAGGAAGCCCCCCACCCCACCCCAACTACTCTGACCTTAGTGCTGTAAACTTCTGGATGTCAGGGACTTGTTTCTCTGTCGCGATGGGTTCAGGGTGCTTCTATGATAAGGTGACCAGACGTCCCACTTTTGGCGGGAGTGTCTGGTTTTTAACAATTTTTCCCGCGGCTCGCGGCATTTTTAAAAAGTCCCGATTTTTGGAAAGAATGCACGACAAGCTGGGGTATATGGTTCTCGGCTGCCATGTGGCTATTTCGCCAGGATATGAGTTTTATCAATGGTGTCCCGCTTTTGTTCCACTTTACCGATGGTGAAATCTGGTCACCTTATTCTATGAAGAACTAGTGGCTTGCGGGCAGGCTAGTTTGTGGCGTTCATCAATTTCTCAGTTCCTGCTTCTCTCTCTCTCTCTCTCTCTCTCTCCTGCGCTTGCTTTGATTTCATGACAATGCGGAAGAACAGAAGCAAAGCACTTCTTCCCCATCACTCCTTAACCTTTCTCCATTATCCTGGCAGGCAAAGGGAATTACTGGACGCTGGACCCCAACTGTGAGAAGATGTTTGACAACGGGAATTTCCGCAGGAAGAGGAAGAGGAAATCCGATGTTACCTCCAGCTCGGGCTCCTTGCCCTCGGAGAAAGCCGAGAGCAGCCTCCTCGCTGGCAGCCCCAAGACCACGGAGCCCCAGGAAATCTTGGACAGCACCTCACAGGGCACCACCAGCTCCCCAGAGAAGCAGCCCTCCCCGCCCCCCTCCGGCGCCCCGCCATGCCTCAGCAGCTTCCTCTCCACCATGACAGCCTATGCGAATGGGCCAAGCCCCGTGAGCCGTGCCGTGGCATCGCCAGGACTGAGCCCGGAGCCCACTGACAAGATGGGGCAGAACATGCTGAGCTTCAACTCCTACACCCCACTCACCAACCTCAGCAGCCACGGCGCGGGGGGCGAGTGGGCCAACCCTGTGCCCACCAATGCTCTGGGTTACGGGGGCTCCGTCCTCAACCAATTCAGCCCTCACTTCTACAACAGCCTCAATACCAACAGCATCCTCTACCCCAGAGAGGGCACTGAAGTCTAGACACAGGGCAGCTCCCAAGGTAGATGGAGCGGCGCAGAGATCCTCTGTGCTGGCCATCCCAAGGTCCAAGACTTCTGGCTGCCCCAGCTAATGCAGGAGGCTCAGAGGAGGGGCTGCCCCTTCCTCCGGAGCATCTCATGAACCCTCTGTTTCTCACACATTGCTCCACACACAGATGCACCAGGCTTACAGGGGAAACACTGGGGCCTGGCGGCAGCGACAATAGCAACATTACGTTGCAAATTTGCCATGTGCTGGTGTTGTGTTGGGTTCTTTAAAGACAAGGTCACACTTGCTGTATCCAGTATCCCTGTGAGTTCAGATGGACCTCCCCAGTGAACAGATGAGGAAACTGAGGCTGGAGACCGTGAAGGAACCTGCCCAGAGGCATACAAACGAATAAATGGCAAAGACAGGAGTCACATGTAAGCCCAGGTGACCCCATCGTTGGGACCAAAGGAGCAGGAGTGGGGGTGGGGGTGAGGGTGGGGTGGGGGGAGGGATTGGTGTGCCAGCTAAAGACAGTCAGTGTGAGAAGTGAATGGCCCTTGATGGTGGCTGGTGAAACAGTCTCATCACTGCCTCTGGCCAACTCCATACCAGTCTAGACGTGTTTTCTGCTGGACCGAGTCCTCGCTCGGGAGCCTGTAGCTATTCTTTTGATACTACTTAAGAAGGGAAGCCTCTCGTTTACTGCGGAGTTGTTCTGACATGTGACCAGCCCATGAGTGTCAGAGCACAGCGATGCTCAGGGGGTTTTCAACAGAGGAATTATTCCAAAGGAGATTGCCAGAGCTTTCTTCCAAGGCACCAGTCACCACGAGCCCCCAGATTCTTGGAGGCGCGTGGTGACAATTGCTACCACCCAGGGACTCACACAGGGTCACTGAAGGATAGTACACCCGCCCTCTGCCCGGGGAGGGACATCGCTTCTGCAGCACCCCGGAGACCTTTGGCAGTAGTCGGGGTCAGTGAGAGGAGGGCTGTGCCAGCCCAGACCCCTCCCCAGTCCGGTGCAGCCCACCAGTAAAGTCTTCCTGTGCCCGGCTTCCTGGGTGCGTGTCATGGGCCAGTGAGCACGAGGTGAGCGAGTCTTCCAAGAGAAACAAGACACAAGGAGCACTTCCTTTTGATGGCCCAGAGAGGTGTGCATTTGGGAAACCAGCGAGTTTCTCCAGGGAGGGCCCCCAGGTCTGTGCTGGAGGCAGAGGCTCCGCTTCAGGGACTCTTGGCTCTCAATGTTGTCCGTCTTTCCTGTTCCCGGGATGACACCTCACAGCATACTCTGGGAAGGGGGTTGGGCTTATTTTCTTTTTAATTAAACCACCTTTGTGCTGAAGCATGCGGCCCTGCCTCCTGATTTTCCTGTCTCTCAGAGGCCCTGGGCGACTGAACCTGGCCCAAAGGGAGCTTGTACTGATGGTGTTTGGGACAGAGGCAGAGAGGGAGCGGGCATCGAAGCTCTTACCCTCCTCCATGCTGCTGCAGAGGCAGGACAAGAGTCCTCAACAAAAGGAGGGGAGCCTGCGAGGTTGGGGTGAATGTGGGGAAGGAAATCTTCCCTCTGGCAGAACCCCAACATCATGGTCCAACTGTCCTCATAGCTGCGCTTTGAGCACAATCTTCTGACCACACAGGGAGGGAGGTGGTGCCAACCCCCTTCCACAGACGAGGAAACGGAGGGTCAGAGAGATGGAACGACTGGCCTCGTGGTCACAAATGATTACTCCCCATGTCTGCCTGGTCCTTGGCTGTCATCAGACTGTGTTCCCCTAACAGCAATGACAGCACTCGCAGTCACAACTCACTGAGAGTGTGTGGTCCCTCCCTCTCTGCAGGGGGCAAGTCCAGTGTTCCCCAGTGGGGACGTCTTTTATACTGCTTCCAACAATCCTGAGTGAGGGCCCTGCTGTGGCCTGGGAGGGCACCCCTGGGGCAGAGGACCCTGCACTGGGCTCCCCTTCCTAGGTTGTTCAGAGAGAGGGCTCCACTCAGGGTCACTGCGCTCCTGCTGGGCCAGGCCAGGCCAGGCTACACCACCTACTCAGTCTCTGGGGAGCTCTTTCTCCCTGCAGTGACAGGCGTCAATCCTGCACAGTAGCAACCACAAAGATAAGAATTCACATTTGTTGCCAGTTTGCCGCATGCCAGACCCTGCTAGGACTCGCCTTGCTTTATCACGCTTCGTTCTCAAATGCTGCCAGTGGGACCCGTGCTCTGATCTCCATGTGTTCGGGGAGCAGGGGGTCTGCAGAGATGCTGGAGCCTGAACAAGGACACTCAGCTGGGATTCAAACCCAGATCTCTTGACGACAAGGCTGAAATGAAACGCTTACCTTGGTGCCCTGGACTGCCCAGGACTTAGCGCAAGGGAAGAGGATTGTGAGAATAGAGAAGGCAAACTGGGGGTCTCCATAGGGCTTCCACAGGACCTCTCCCTCTGCAGAAGCAAGACTTCTCTTGGCCAGAAAGGCCCATATGGTAGTGCCTGAGGGGTGGGGGGATGTGACACGGGGTCAGAGCTGTAAAGCACCCCAAAAGCTGACCCCTTGCTACTCAGATGAAGTCTCGTGGGTGCTTTTGAGTAAGTGCTGGACTGCTGACCATAAGGTCCATGGTCCAAAAACACCATCTGCTCCATGGGAGGAAGAGGAGGCTGTCTGCTCCCATCACGGTGACTGCTTCAGAAGCCCCATAGAGCAGTGGTTCTCCACCTTCCTATTGCCGCAACCCTTTCATACAGTTCCTCATGTTGGGGTGACTCCCAACCATAACATTATTTTTGTTGCTACTTCATAACTGTCATTTTGCTACTGTTATGAATCGGGTGACCCCTGTGGAAGGACTGTTCAACTCCCAAAGGGGTCGTGACCCACAGGTTGAGATCCACTGCCCTAGAGGGTGGCAACAAAGCAGAAGCAACTTGATGGCGTTGGGCCTGGATATTCGGGCCATGCCACTCAGATAGGACACTGAAGGCCAGGCGGACAAGACATCCAACTCGAGTCACCTGTGAGATGGGATCAGAGGTAGAGTTACAAGGCAGGTCTTTGAAATCAGGCCAGAATTTTTTATCACATACCTAGAAATTTTAGCCCCCAGTGCAGGTAAGTTTGCCAAAGGAGCCCTGAAACTCCACCACTGGGTTTCCACTAACAAGTTCATTGCTCTTCAATGCCTCCTACGTTCCAAGGCAGGCATGCCAAGGCTGGACAAGCAGCGGGGGAAGGAAATGGTGTGAAGAGGCAAAAAGAGAGCAGCCCAGCCTAGAGGGAGGCAGGGAGATTTAGAATGAAGTTCCACAGTCCTCATGTCTCCAACCTTCTTCAGTCCAGAGTGTAATAAGCACACGCAGTCAAAGGAAGCTCCCGGGGATAGGGGAGTTCGCAGAGCTTGCCAAGCCTCCTTTCTGCTTGTGCAGGAGTTCCTGGTCGAAGTGCCAGGAGTTTGCAGGAAGTGGGGTACATAAGAGAGGGCGTGTGTGCTCCAGAGGAGAAGGGGTGAGGGTGGTCTGCCAAGCTCAGGTTCCACTGGCTGCTTCTTGCCCCTGGTTCTGTTCCCCTGAGAAGCCTGAGCTGGAGAGAAGAAAGGACTTAAGTAAGAAGAGCTGGTTATCTATCTTCCAGGTGCTCCAGCTGATCTGTTTTCTGCTATGGATGGATATTTGCGTTTATTATCTCCCTTTGGTTTGCCTAGCAGCCCTGGTAGGGTAGTGGTTATGCTTTGAGCAGCTAACCACAGGGTCATCAGTTCCAAACCACCAACTGCTTCTCAGGAAAAGGATGAAACTTCTTATTCCTGTAAAGAGTTACAGTCTTGGAAACCCACAGGGGGCAGTTCTACCCTGACCTATAGGGTGGCTGAGTTGCAATTGATCTGAAAGCAATTTGAGTTTGGCTTTGAACTTTGATTTGTCTTTTTGTGGAAGACATAACACCCAAGATCACAGAGGGTCTGAAGAGAGGGTCAGAAGAGGGATTCCTGTGTGCTGGAGGAGACAGCAAAGTGAGACAGGAGCTGAAGGTAGCAGAAGTGAACTGAGACAAAGAGGTCCAAGCCACTGTTCACAGACTCACCCTCAGCAGAGCTGCAGTCCTGCCACAAACCTGGCAAGAGTGAAGTGCAAGGTGATTCATGTGTAGTGGGGAAGCCTGTCTCAAAGTCAAATCACACACACACACACACACACACACACACA